GGTAGAACCAGAAAATAGAAGTGAGCCAGCGGCAGGAGCTACCGTAGACCGGATAAGTGATTACACCGATGGATAAGGCACTATCCACTCGCTCATTGATCGCAAATCCCTCTTGTGATAGACATTATCCAAAGGAAGGTATCGTGGACTGCCGGAAGCAAAACGGTTTATGCAACTAAACGCAAGACTCATTTGCTACCCACTTTCGGTTGTGTGTCGCTTCCATAAAATCATATTTTTGGTTTTTTCCCATTCAAATCAAGATGAGCAAGGAAAAGTTTATAGCGGCAAAGGTAGATGCTGGTGTCTCCAAGCCCCCAAGACTCTAAGAGGAGTGCGCTTTGCGTCGGCCCTGATGGCAAGCCTGATGCTCAGACTCAGAGACTGGAATACCCAACTTGCCAGTGGATGCTATGAGTAGAAAAGTGGCTGGGGGTCTCAACAGAAAAATAGTGTTCAACATCTCTCAACAACCACTCAGATCCGGTTTCTGTTTCGTCTGGTAAAGACAGTGGACTAGTAAACCAAGTCTTGATGATATTCTTGTTTTCTGGTGAAAATGGTGATAATACACTGGAATGAAGCTTAACACTGGATTTTAGGAATTCAGTTTTAAATTAATAGTAAGATATTCAGCTGATACTTTGGAGGTTGTACTCGACATTCGAATGGAGTTTGGTTCACCTTGGTGGATCATGGGACGCGGAAAAAGGAACATAATGTCGGTCTTCCCCTATTCGGTATTCTACGGTCAATCACCGAACAAATTTAAGCATCATATGCAGTATAAATATCGAAAGGGACGTTTTTCGTGGAAGGTGAACCTCTGGTTCCACACATGTGTTTGTTAAAATAAAAGCAAATCACAAATATCACACCGCAATACGATTTTCGCCTAATATCTGGCGCATGATCAGAGCACCGTGCAGGTGCACATCAAAGGTTTCACTCGGTAAAAAAAGATGGACTATACACTCAACCAACTAGATTGAACAGTCAACTGTTGCACGTGTGACCTTATTTCCACACGTCCTCTGGAACATTACCGAGCACTAGGCGCCGCCGTAGCTGACACCTCCCATGTAGGCACAGGCCGTCTACTAGCATCTAATCAGCTAATCTGCCGACAAAGCGTTCCAATCAATGTACCAATGCCACGCTTGTTAAGGCAAAAAAATGTTGATTGAACGGAATCTTTACTGAAAATCACCAAATCTCTTCACACCACCAACAGTTGTTGTTCAGAGGAAGAAAACTTTCACAAGACGAGCAAACATCCTTCTGAGAAGTTGTCACTGAAGGAGCCAGTCACTAAGTGACCACGTGACGTAGTTTCTGTGATTGATGGGTGGAAGGAGCTATGTCCAGTCTAAGTGTGGGCTAATCACACTGCTGATCAACCGCCGGGATCTGAACGGCCGAGCGGTCAACAACTGATCGGGAGGTCGCGGGCTCGAAACTCTCTGTGTTTCGTGAGATGTGCACTACTGACGATTCCCAATAAGAATGAAACAGTCGTACAGTGGTTCTTGGCTTTTCAGTATCGATTGGTCTCATAAGGTTGCTCAAAATCCTTCAAAGTCCACGACCGGTTTCACCATTCTTGGGGCTCATCACGTAGGCGCAGTCCCCAAGTTTCCGCCAACATTATGTTCTACTTGAAACCAAATTGCATGAAATTAGCGAAGTACACTCATTTGCAAACTAATTTGTCTTTGCGAGAGATTCACCTAAAACCCAAATAAATCCCTCGTTTGTGATGTTTCCGGGCGACTGAATGTGCTGCACCAGGCCGCCTCATGTTTCAGTCACTACGATATTCGAGATACCGCGATACATGTATATTCGTAATGCACTACTCATAAGTTTGCTGAAAATTCTTCACTTATTCAAGGTCCTGTTTACCGACATCAGAGTACTCCATTGCGAATGGCGAAAAAAACAAGCTTTCTAAAGCCCACTCCTGGAAGTTGCCAGATATTGTGTGACTAGAGATGTGCATGGCGAGCTGCTCATCATAACGTCTACCACTGAGTCGCAAATTAATTAAAGGAGGCTGTCGCTGCTTGCACAATATAGCAATAAGAATTTAGCCGACCCACACGACTAACATGCGGCTAGGGGTCCGCGATGCCCAATCAAATGGCTGGATGTAACCTACGTTGATCATAGAAGACAGTTGAACGGACCTAGCAAACGCACACGACTAACATGAGGCCAGGGGTAGGCGATGCTTAGTCAACTGGTACACCAAAAATTCAGAACGGAGATTAATTAAAACGAATTCTAATAGAAGTAAAGCAGATTATGATAGCTTCTGGTTTGACCATAAACACAGCAAAAAATATCCATTCAACACAAAAAGGGTTTGGAGAAAAGTACATCTACCGGCTGGGGAGCGGCGCTGCAGTACGTGATTATTCATGGAGCTGGGTCATTTCCCTGTCTCTCGAAATGGAGTCAAGAAAAAATCTCGGATTCAGTGTGCGAAAAACTCTCACCTAGGAGACATTTTTTGGAGACTTGAGTAGAACTTCTTTTGCATAATATCAGCAATGTGACCTTGGGAATAATTAGGCGTAGGACGGGAGTTAACATCCCAGTGACAACTACCTTTGGAATGGTATCCGGATGATCATGAAAGATACCGTGTGTTGTGATCGGTGAACGATACAGGGTCTAACTTAAGAAAATGCTTGTCTCCAGAAAGTTAGATACTTAGAAAGCGAAAACAAAACAGACGCGAAACCACAAGTGAGATTAGCATACCAAGCCATCGAATAAGTCAACAACTTTGTTTCTGAGCGGTAGCCGAAATTTACGGCTAAAGATCACAATACACCAGTAGTATGCTTCATCGCGGTCCGCTTTCACCATCTCTTCTATTAGGGGTCTTTATCCCGAAATTATCCATTTTTTCCGAATTTCTACGACATCTACATAACCCATAGTAAATTGTTTTGTAAATTTTTATGTCAATTTCCTAAAAAGCCAGCTCACGATCGAACAATCAAGCAACCAGGCAACCAGCCGATGACTGTTCAGGCATTTTATAGAAGCACAGTCGGTTATGATAGGTGCACATCGAACATCGACCAGACGGCCTGGATTAATGTCAAAAATGCCCTTCAAATATCGCGAGCCATATTGTAAGTTTTGTCGCCGTACTCGCCGGTTAGCAATAGAGCAGTTGTGGTCCTTGTAGGCAAGTCCTTTTCCGACATTGAGGCATTGGAGCGGGGACAGTAGTTGTTAGGTGAAACACAAGGAATGAAGGAGTTAGTATCAGGTAACCATTCCAAACCCAATATTCATTTATTTTAAGTTGGTAGACACCACCTTTCTTAGACGTCGTACTGGCGCTCAAAAACTCAACTGCACACACTCTAAAGCGTTACTCACATAAAAACACTGAGTGTCCGGTATTCTGTAACTAGCTATTGGGATAAAATTGCATTAGGCTAATGGGTTTATGAGGGGATTAAACATGAAGAAACCCAAGGCCAACCAAGCAGAACACGACCATTTTCAGAAACTTACCAAGCATTGTCATTCCTTTGTCAGACGAGGGGAATTGTCACCACAAAGGGTAGCCGGCCGCGGGTGTGGTGGAGACGAGTGAGGATGGGAAAGAACGGGAACAAATCAGCTAATTAAATTGCGTTCAATAAAGTGTGCACCGACTCGCAGAGACAGAAAAAGCCTGAGGCTAAATCCAAAATGGGTCCTAGTGGGTTTAATTCTCCCTGGATGAGCATGTAACGAACAGTAGGAAAACTGTTACATTTGAACGTAGCTATGCCGTCGAAAAGGATTATTTTCCGGAAAGCACTTTGACAGTCTCGAAGTTACACCGCGCGCGATCTTCGATAAGCAGCAACAATCCGGAAATGCAGCTCATCAGTCAACACTTACTTGGACCCATTTACAAACTCCACAAGAAAACATTCGACGACTTTCGATATATGCTGTCCGGTTCTGTGTGCTATCGAATTTCACGAATCTTACTGTACTTTTCGGGTGCCACTGAATTCGCCACTTCTCTATCATAACCCATGATCCTCAGTTGAACGACAACAGTCCCTATAACATGTACATGGTAAAAATCGCTTAGCTAAAGCACCCTTTAGGTGCCTAGCTGCCGTGCCACACGAGGGAGGCACGAGGGCTAGGATACTGCCCGGTCGCCGAAGCCTAGACAGGGGAAGTCGAGAGGCAGAGGTCGGGTTCGAACCACGGACCTTCCGCTCAGTAAATTCGCGCTCTAACCATTTAATCCATCTCGCCCACATGGTTAAACGAAGTGTTCTTTGATTAGTTTTATAGCCAGAAAGCTATTGTGTTACCTTTAGAATCTTATCAGATAGCGAACGCCATGACAGCTTCATTTTACCTGAAGCCATACTACCTATTCCACAATCATAAAGCTCGACATAGTCCCAAAGAGATTGTGGCAAAATGATAACCAACCCTTAATGAAGCATGTGTTATTTGGCAACAAAAAGCAATACGGAAAGATTCAGGACGGGGTAGGCCAAATCAAACTAGTGTTTAGTTGTTGCAAAGACAAAAATTCTCGCAGCTGTAACACCTTTCCGGTGTCCATTTGCCATGCTATCCGAAGGAGGCACGGGGGCTGGGATACTGCCAGGTTGCCCAAGCCTATACAGGAAAAGTCGATAGGCAGGGATCGGGTTCGAACCACAGACCTTCCGGTCAGTAAATTCACGCTCTAACAACTTGAGTCCCCTTGCAACGGGTCGCTCCCGACGAAGGATTTCCACTTTCCCTACTGAGAATGATAAATTCTATTGGTATCATGGGTTAGAATATTATTGATGATAGTAATTTAGTGGAGAATAGCTAGCTCGGGTGCGCTGCTTGGCTGTTGGTCTATTCGCCAAGCTTGGCAGTTGGACTGAAAATGTTTCATCACCAATCGAGGTGACATTGTCAGCAATCAGCAATCCAGCCACACAAGCCCGCACTGACGATTAGCGATGGAACGTTTGCAATCCAACTGCCAAGCTCGGCGAACAGACCAACAATCAGTCATTGATGTTTTCAATAAACTGTCAATGTTCGTTACAATGCCCGTTACAACCAAGCTACTGCCCGATGGGGTAACACTCAAAACAGTGCAAATAACGATTAGCGAACGCTTGCAATCCAACTGCCAAGCTCGGCGAACAGACCAACAATCAGTCATTGATGTTTTCAATAAACTGTCAATGTTCGTTACAATGCCCGTTACAACCAAGCTACTGCCCGATGGGGTAACACTCAAAACAGTGCAAATAGCCGCGGGCCGTGAAAAATCAAGGGGAATGTGCGGCGACATTTAACAGCAGCAACGTTGTAGCATGTGAATCCAGAAGTTCACCGGTGAGCTGTTGTATTCACTTGCCAATCATGGAATCGCACCGAAGTTGACGAGGTATTCATCACTCACAATCAAAGTAATCGATCACCATCACCACTATACGTATGCAACGTACGCAGATCGTCAACTATGGGTCAGAGTTAGAATTGACACAAGGTCGAGAAGAGGGAGAGCTAGTCCTTCTGTCAATGTTGTCGTTCTGTGAAAGACCCAAATTTAGGTCTGCCACACTTTGGTTTGTTTCATCTAACGGAGTAGAAAGCCATGCAAACCCTAGCTGGAGATGCTGGCAAATGCGAGGCAGTCAGAAAGTTGTCAGTTAACATTCGGAAAAAAAGTATATAAACAATCCTGGTGTAACTGCATGGAACGTAAGGCAAGTGCATCATGTCTTGTCTACAAAACAACCACCATAGTGGGACATATACCGATAATAAGGTGGCAACGAACGGTACACCGCCCTTTATTATTATGACCGACGTACGGCAGCAAAGCGTCAGTGTTGAACAAGGATGTCATGCTGTCGATGATGATGATGATGATGATGATGACTGAGGAGAACGTAGAAACCACCCTCGCTTGCAGATGCCTTTGGAAAAATACTTTCCCAACGAAAAGTCACATTTTCACTACCATGATTTACCATGGAAACTAACTGATAAATAACACCCGTCTTCAATAAAACTACCAGGTAGTCTTCATATCACTTTTCCTAAAGAAAACGCATAACTCCAGTGCGCAAACGACAAAAGCTGTCACTTTATTGCCAAAAGGCCCAGCTTACTCCCGTCTGACCGTTTCAATGAAAGGCTTATTTGCAGTTTACGTGCTAAATCTTATGCTGAGTATGACGCAGGGTTATACCGAAACCGTGAAAGCCAGTGGAAAGCCAACTCACCCATTGGCAGCAATAAATGAAGGTGCAGGCACAGTGCTCTTGATAATATCTCCTGTGATCCCAAGCTTACTTTGGACTAATTTTTCAACCACAAACTTATCCGCCCCTAAGCTTAAAAACATAGTAGCCCACTTACGTCGAATGCCAGATAAAAGTGGAAGTCTGCGCGTAAGGTGTGGGCCTTTTCTTCCCTTCACAAGGAGTCGATGGCACCATACGCAGCGGCATTTGACCAGATCTCAGAGCCGCTGAGCATACAATGTACAGCATCAAGGGGGACACTAAGTGTAGTAGGTGTATGTGACCGAACACCTAGTCGGAAGACGGATTAAACCCACTGTGCTATAAAGAACACAAACTGAGGAACGCTTGTGTTTCCGGGATCTCCTCATCAGACCAGTACATAGTTAGAATGAGCAGTTCATATCAGTCACGTGGTTAAACTATACGGGGATCATGATAGAACAACTGTATTTTAAGACATCTCACCTTACTCAGCAGAAGCTTGTTTCAAGGTCTTATGAATGAGGGGATCTGGTAGCAAACGACCGAAGTAAAAGCTCGTACGAATCGCTGTTGATAGTATGGCGCCGGGTCACACAGCCGTATTGCGACTGCTTCGGCTGTTGCCAAGCCTGCCAGCACCTCATGGTAGACTCGTTGGCGGAGTCAAATTTCGATAGGATGACAACCCTTAGGCTGATCACATCATCAAAACAACTGAGTCACCTCACGTAATCTACACAGGGCCCGATGAGTTGTCGATATTGATCACAAAGGCGCTGCTGGTGAACGGTTGGAACAGTCACAATACGGCTATGACACTATGTTGTTAAAAGCACTCCGTGACGAAATGCGGATTCGTAATGAAGATTTCATCCTGTGGGTGAAGCCAATACATGATGCAGAGCCTAGAAGCATAGGGCAACTGTTTCATCCCCATTGGGAATCATCAATTGTTCGCAGGAGTCTCGGACCGGCCACCTCTTGGCTAGTGGTTGGAACACGTAGTTTGAACCGTCCAGCCATGAACGGCTGATCGGCGATGTGATGACTGAATGTGAAACTGAATATGGCGTCGCTCATTCTTCAGTAAAGAAATCCACATCACGTGGTCGAAACTTCGTATAGTGAGATGTGAGATGCGCATTGTTGGTGATTCCAAACAACGATGGAACAGGTGTTCGATGCTACCCGACTTTTCAGCATAGATAGCTATCAACAATTTGAATTTTTCTTAGTCATGTGGCACATCCACTCACTTAGCAGCCGCCTAGACAAACACGCTCCCGAAAACATTAATTTTCGTCTACTTTGCGCCCCGAATAAACTATCTCGCGTTCCAATTCCCGTTGGCGATCAAAAGTGTGGACATGTACGAGAAGGATGAACCTAATAATCTGGTCAACGTTTGTGACAGAGTTTAAAAACACAACTATTTGCATTACACTAGCGTAGAAATTTGTCGAGACAATAAATCTGTCCATAGGCCGGATCCACGAGAATGGATGTAATAACAAAGATCTTACAATCTATATAGACTTAATACTCATAATGCTGCTGGAAATCTGGTTACGGACGATATCCTCTCAATTCCATATGGTCGTAGATTCGTTTTCCTGATGAGGATTGATAGCGCAATCTTGGGGATGATGTAAACAAACAGACGACACACGGAAACTCTGTGATTCGACCAAGTGGCACCAATAGATTTCATACCAGCTGTTTGATTGACGGGTTTTAAAAAGAAGACCCGTGTGACACGACTAGATGTGCCCTTTTCTGAGCGCTCCAATCACATTGTCATACCAGCTTTTGATTGACGGGTTTTAAAAAGAAGACCCGTTTGACACGACTAGATATGCCCTTTTCTGAGCGCTCCAATCACATTGTTATATTTTTTTCGAATTTGTAAATGTTCGTCGTCCAATTGTGACCAGTTGGAAAGCGAGAGTAAAAGGAAGATGTGACGACAACGTATTGCTGGTGTGTTGCTAAGCTTTTCCACGACATATTTGCCAAAATCACCCAGTCAAATCTAAGCGCATGGTCTAGTAATTACCAAATCCCTTATGGCCAATTTGAGTAAAACAATGATCACATGATTGAACAAGTAGACAAGTGACTCGAACTAAGTTTTACACCTAAAACCATATATGCTCACCAGACTGGAACGACGAAGATATGCATGAGCGACACCAAAAGGTGTTAACTTACCTCGTTTACCACGAACGTTGGGAGTGGACCGCGAGGAAAACCGATCTGGAAAATGACAGTGGAACGGAGTACCAAATAATTACACTGTTAAGGCCCTGTACGAAAACGCGTCGTCGTTGTATTATTTAGTCGGCTGCAAAAATTTAACCACATCTGGGAATTCTGCTTTTAGAGGTAGGTAGTTGTAGGGGCCTAGTCCGTTTGAATTGAAATATGCAGATAGAAGAAATTTGAATTTGGCCTCCAGGTCGAGTCCGGGGAACCATCAAAAATGAAAAATGAAGCGGTGCGACCAGTAAGATCGAGATTACATGAAGATGAGCAACAAAGCCAATACAGAGGGTATAGAGGAGTTGCTATTCGATATCCTGAACAGCTAGGAGGCACTGACCAATAAGGACACCACTGTCTACTTCACATTTGGATTGTTTTAGATAGATTTCACTCGCCACAAGATACTGAATGCAAGAGAGCGAATGCGGTGAAGAGAATCGACTGTCTTTTCCACCAATAAGAGGAAGTTCGAGGCTGATGTGGGAGTCATCGGCTAGTATCAGAGAAGCATTTTACTACCAAGAACTCAGAGCCCCACATCCATGAAAATGGAGACTTTACACGAGTTTGTAAGACTAAGGGCTATGTAAACAAAAGCGACACTAGCAACAAAACATATTTGTAAAATGCATAAGTCAACGACCGATTCTCAACGAGGCGACCGAAAGAGTCAAGCATCGTAATTACGACTCGCGAGTGTATGGAAAGCCTCCTCCGGTTAACTGATTTGACAAATAATTCTGATTCCCATCCGAATCCATCGGGTTTAGGACTTAGTCATTCGTACTAACCAACAAAGAAGATCACAATCCAATCAAAGCTCAATTCAATCGAATTCATTAGCATTGCATTAGGTGCGGATATGCTAGAGAAGCATCTTCAATATCCGTGACAGACTTAACCTGATGGTTGGCAGCGATCTCGCCGACCACCTTACCGGCCTCCTCAAAATTCAAACAACCTGCCTGCTCACTTTGAATGAAGATGCTTTCGGGAAACGGTTAACCTGATGGTTCGCAGTGGTCTCGCCGACCACCTTACCTGCCTCCTCAAAACTCAAACAACCTGCCTGATCACTTTGAATGAAGATGCTTTCGGGAAACCTCACATTGTTTACCAAAGTTTTCTAAAACGAAGAATGTGGCCATGGTGATGGGGTCGATTTCATTTTTACAAAGATTTTCAGACCCTTTACAATGATCTGTAGAAAAGTTAAACTAGTGAATTCATAGGATACTGCATGCAATTCCATCGCACTTTTGCCGAACTATAGCCTTAGTTGATATTCCACCCTTCAATCGTCGTTTTGTGCTTAGGAACAGTTGAGCTCAGCTCATCCAACATGCCCTGTGTGGGCAAACAGGGCTCACTAAAACCTAGCAAAACGCTGCAGTTATTCACTCGACAACGGAGTCCAAATGATGTGTAATCAGGGATTACCGCAAAAAACTTTCCATGCGAAACACCGGTTAAAATAATCAGGTACCGAGGTGTGGAACGTCCAGACCTCATGGATTTTGCAGATATACGTCCCGACTACGTACAGAGAGAAAACTCTCAAGTTGCGTTTGGGTAGGCTGGCTAAGTGGATCACAATAGCCAGGCCAGTGCAGGAAACATGATATGCTAAAACGGCAACCGAGTCGGTGAAACTGAACCAATGTGTTGAATCGTGATCTGGGCCACATAGGTAGGTGTGGGTGATCACTTATAGTCAGCACTGTGCTTTGATCGTACCGTCGTGTACGCGTCATTCGTTGTTGATTTAAGTCTAATCGGAACGAAAGCCCGTGTATTTGGACAGGCAAAGAAAAGGCGTACACTTGAGAGGTGCACAACGGTTCGGATTTCACGCCAGAGTTCGAACGGCACCTGCAGTTGACCCCAATTCACTTTGAGATTACCAACGAAGTAACTTACGGTCTTGTTAGGTCATTTTGAAAATTCTATCGGGATACCTTATAAAAAATCACAGGACGTACAGTCACCATAAAAGTATAGAGGTCATCTCAAATGGTTAAGCTTCTTTCCGTCCCTCAGCTCGGGGAGAATGGCATCACTATTCGATCTTGCGCTGGTTCATCTTGGCACACTTTTTTCAAAGCATTCTAAATAATGGCAGCTTAGCACTCCCATCCTAGAATGTGCATTTGCCTAAGCCAAATGTGAGATATGAAAAACTCCTCATTACAGGGGTCACGAATGACTTTTCGCCATAGGAACCCAGTATGAGCGCATGTTGACCTATCTATCACAGGGAGCACCATTTTGTATTGCACTGTTTCTAAAAGAATTTTCCAGAGTATAACCCGGAATACAGCAGTACTAAGATGAAATCAATGGTTCCAAAGAACTTTTGTACTACGACCGCTTTGCAATAGTTCGGATAATTCGGATAATTCATTAGGACACAATCCCCGGCACGGTTAACGGGAATCGTTTCTGTCCGATGTCCTAACCCATTTACGACACACTGAACAGGCTTATTTTACCAGCTACTCCACTTCTTTGTGAGTGACCGCTGTGTGCTGTAATACTATCCTAAACGTATTGATTACTTCGTCATCTAGACTGGCCGGAGTCAAAGACAGGAAAGAACGAAGAGCTAACGTGCTCAACAAAACCCTGTGCGTAACATTAGAAGGGCCCCGTCACTCTGAATAATTTAATGCAGTTGTTTTTCACTGTACTACTGCGTCACTCAAATCGAGTCCAATAAGTTATAGCAATCGTTCAGCTGTAACATCCTTTCGGTGCCTAGCTGCGACGTCAGATGATGGAAGCACGAGGGCTGAGATACTGTCAGGTTGCCGAAGCTTAGACAGGACTAGTCGATATGTCATGGTATAGCTGAAAACATGGACCTTCCGGCATCAAGTTCGCGCTTTAATCACCGAGTTACCTCGAGCTGATATTGTAAATGGGCTGGTGTTGGAACCCGCTTGGCCTCAAAGTTCGAGGCAACATCGGTTATCAGAGGATTGCTGAAGTTTGGTGTGGTTAATTATAAAACTCCACAACTTCACTGACATTCCACGCAAATAAAACTTCCCGTATTGAAGAAAACTCGAAGCCGGTGATACGGCAAAAGATATGCACTGAAAACGTAATAATTCCTGGACAACCTTGAATCAGACAATCAGATTTATTGGACCAGATCAGCGGCTTATCTTTGAGTTCCACGGAGAGCCAACATTTTAGCAGATAACCGAAAGCTTCATGCGCATGTAGTGTCAGCATATGGTTTTCAATTTCACTGAACGATTCTACACTTTCGAAAAGTTCCAGTGAAGCCCTCAAGTGTTCATCGTCCAGTCAAGAGATGTCATGAATGAAATTTGACGTAGGCTCAATATAAAACTATAAAAAATTAGAGGTGATAATTGCCTTTTAACAGAGAACGTGGATTAATCAGCCCTGAATTGATTGAATGATCTTTTCTAAACAGGTAGTGTTGTCGAAAATCCAACCTCAGATAAGCTCCTGTGACTTGGGTAATATCAGGAAGGTCAGATTCCTGTAATCAACTTCTGAACGCCCGGAACCTACTGCTCCACCAAAAGCTCAACTGGAAAGCCGGCAAGCATCCAGGCCAGTCAATCATTCGATCAATTCAGTAAAACCTGATGAGTGTTCTCTGCGCCACAGAAGCACGACCGAATGTGATCAGCGTTCAGGCTTTTCATAGAGGCACGATCGATGTTGATGGGTGATCACTAACGCCTATCAGACAGCCTGGATCAATGTCAGAAAGTCCCCTTTAAATAGCGTGGGACCGTTGTAACTTTTGCACTCGCTCTCGCTCTCTCACTCACTCGCTTGTTCGGAATACAACTGTTGTGTTCCCTTCTGTGAGTCTTTTCTCTCCGACACTAGGCACTGGAGCGGGTCAGCAGCAGATACCTCAGATTGACGAACCAGCAGATATAACAGGTAAAAAGCGCAAAACGGCGAGCCTGTGTATAGCTGGACATCTGCACACGAGTGACGAAAATTAGCGGAACAAATCGAGTATCGGAGGATGATTCCCAATATCTAATTAGTTATCGGATATCCAACAGAGAGAACTCAAAGTAACTCAGGCATTCCAGCCCCCCAGGGTCCCGACCCTAGGTTGAGAAAGATAAGCATTAGGGGCGAGCAGTTGGGCTCGCTGAGAGGATACTCGTAGGCCGGAGGTTGCTGTTTTTTGGTAAGATATTTGCGCGACGATCCCATTCGTCCTCTAGTCAACCCTCAGACATCCTGGCAAAATCTCCTCTATCACGCAGAATGAATCATATCAACAAAGTGTTTGTCACACCATAATGGCGGCCAATTGATATCACACCTAGCCAAGTATTTCGTTGCATACAGCGAGACGGACAAACAAAGCTCCGTTGCTGCTACCACTGTCGACGTATCCGATGGTTATTTTTTGGCATTTCGTACATCCACTTGAAATCCGCCTGAGGATTACTGCTCTGCATAATAAATTGGTGCTAATAATCAAGCCCGATGTATTATTGTCAGCAGTGATGAAGTGGGTGAGCTGACTTTCTTAATCCATCCGTTGCACCGGTACTATACCACTGGTGCTATTCATATTTCTCCTTGATCTAACTCATCTGGGACTTTTGATACCCGCTGAGGCTTCAAAAACTATTCCTCTCTGCCACCATCCTAATAGAAATGGATGAAAATTCTAGTGGAATTGTACATCCGTATCGCTTTTTTTAGTCAATTCAACAAAAGATGTATGTATAGAATTTCAGCTTTATTTTGACAAGTGACTCAGAATGTCAGACGAAAGGATATCCTTTTGTTTCACATAACTTTGAAACCCATCGGGAGCGCATGCCCTCGAGGTAAAAAGGCGATCCACTGTGACGCTTTAGACAACCAGCTCATTCACGAACACATAATGGACATTGTTAACTACATGGAGCCCATAATCTGTCTAATGAAATGCGGATTTAATTTATTAAGGAATTTTGACAAGGAATATTCTGACCGGTACCAGGTGAATTTGCTTCTTTTTGGCCTGAAAGTACAATTTTCAATCGCGCTAACCGGATAACCTATGTGTATAAATGAGTTTTATACCCCATTTGCCATAAAAATAAATTCAAATAGAGGAAACCACAGCGACTACCAATGATTAACTCACATTCAGCTAGGACGCCACTCATCCTTAACTCAAGACATGCAGAGAAAGTGCTTGCGGACTGTGTCCTCTGTTAAAATAAATTCAAATAGAAGAAACCACAGCGACTACCAATGATCAACTCACACTCAGCTAGGACGCCACTCATCCTCAACTCAAGGCATACAGAGAAAGTGCTTGCGGACTGTGTCCTCTAGCGGTGACCTCTCAGATGGAAGATTCACGTGTCGTGTGAATCAGTCTTTCTTCTGAGACAAATATAATTAGACTGAATCATTCTGCTAATCAGCCGCCCGCTATCGAACGGCGCAGTTCCAAACTATGAACCGGAAGGTCGCGGGTTCGAATCGCCCTGGGGATTCACGAGATGCACACTGCTGATCACTCCTAATAAGGATGAAGCAGCAGTAAGACGCTTCACAACTTTTTGGCAGAGACTGGCTTCACTTACAGGAGGAGATCCGGTTGAAAACCCAAATGTCTTCAGACTAGCAGCAGAATGCGAGGAAGATCGCCTGATTGAATACACGTTACTTCAGCATACTGCGCATTCCCATACATGATTTCGGTGAATTACCAGTACTTTGGCAAGATACCAGCTGATTGGCCTCACCACATTGGCAGTCTCGGTTGAAAAGTCAAACTAGGCCAGTACAAGAACAAACCAGCCTGTGAGTGGAAAAAGTGAACTTCTCAAACGGTGAAAAAACCAACAAGTAGACAAATTCAGGGGTGGGGGTCCAACAAACTGCTTATTGGGCTGAGACGAAAACTTGGCGCATGATTCCGTTACACAGCACAATTCCGAGTCAGGTAAGCAGATTACGTTCAGTGGACAGATTATAGAAGTGGGAGTTGATGAATCACTAAAGTTGTTATATTAACATCCGCCCTGCAATGAGCGACTCTGTCTGTCCTGTCTATTCTTGGTTTTGTCGCCACGATCAAGTTCCGGAAAATTGGCGCATGAGCCTTGCGCAAATCCTCCAGAAAGGTCAGACATATCTTTTTTTGCGAAAAGGCAAATTTGACTGAAACATACCTTCACTACGATTGAATGCCCTTGACCCTCCTGACAAAACGCATTGCGCAGTTCGTGGGGAACGAGCGTGGTATCCAATCACACCAGACCCAAGAGAGGCAGACCCAGGTGAAAGTTCGCGGCGTCGTACGTATAAGTCTCTTCGGGGACGACCTGACAGGGAAGCGGGAGTATTTGATCCAGTAATACTGTAACTGGACGGCACTGTATCTGTCAGTGTGTGGGATTTTGTGATATCGTCCGGTTGACTGAAAATTGCGGAGTCGCTAGGTTCGGTGCCACTTCGACTGGGTGGTTGTATAACTCGTGTGGAAGAACTCGATCTAGCCCCATCGCGCCGTGATTGATGTTGAGCTATAGGAGGTTGGTGAGTCGGAGGTCGCGCTAGCGACCGTGTACGTAATCGAGTCTCGTGGGACGACTGAAGAGGGACTTCATCGCTACTCATTATAGCTGTTAATCCACGTTCAGCTAGCCGAAGATAGCTGGCCGGATAATGACGTCCATAGTCGACGCCTGGGGGACATATCCGACGATCAGCACCTGAGAATGTGAAAGATCCACCGGAGAATGTTTGCCCGGGTGTGGTTGAAAGCATCGTATCCATTGTCGTCGGTCCGCCTGGGGCTCCGATGTGACTCAGTGTCTGGCAAGGGGGCACAGTATTGAATATACTATAGGTAAAAGTAACGACTAAGGGTATCGCATCGATGTATTTCTACAAAGGGTCATCGTACAGTGAGTTCCATCTCTGGGATTCTGACGGAGCCTCAACCAGACGATTAAAAAAGCCGGCAGTGGTTTTTTTCCGTTAAACTGCTTGATGCAAGGACCGGAAATCACAAAACAGCTGCCCGTGCGCGTGCGCACACACACAAGCGGAATGCTTGTGTGACAGCACCATGGCGAACTACCAAAACATGGATAGACGAAGAATAGAGAAGTGAGCACCATCGGGCAAACGTGATCACTTTCCATACCAATTACAAATGCAACACTTCTGCACACAATCTGTTTAGTTCGGTCACCCCGGAGCACATGACACAAATCAGCTGATCTCAAGGTCACCGGATGAGAGTGAACAGGATCAGAGATTAGGGGATGAGAATGTGCCGGCTTAAGAATCAGGCGGCATGGAAGTGTGCAGAACCAACGCGCGAAGTAAGACTATAAAAACCGGATAATCTGAGAGATGATGTCAGTCCGGAACAGTTTAGAATGGGTGAGTATAAATCCGATGTGAATGCTTCGGAAATTGGCTGGTAAGCTTCACCATCAGGTGACAGTGAAAAGCAGTACATTACAATTCCACATTCTGGGTAGCTCTCCTACTTGTGATAGTAAAAACATGAAGCCTTCGGGAGCGGAAAAGCAAAGCGTAACTTATAAGTTGTGGCCACGCTTGTGTGTTGGCATTTTAGGTGAATCTGTGAAGATAGTACCGTCAAACGATCTCTGTACTTTGAGGTCGTAAATCATGGGCAAAACTAAGCATCGCACACGAACCACTCATTCGCAAAACTAAACGTACGCACACATCGCCCAGCAAAAAAATCGTCTGCATGAATTCCGTCGCAGGAATAACGAATGGAAGACAATATATCAACCTAGCTGTCACCAGATTGGCAGGACAAAGTCACTGTCTGAATAGTTTGAACAGATTAGCTGTCAAAGCGGAAGGGTAAATAGGGAAGTGCTGGCAATTATGCTTGCCGCTTCACTATACAGGTCAACTTTCCAACCAATGCAAGCAAGAAACTACGAGTCTAATACAAGATCAGATAAGGTATGCTATGGGTTTCACCTGCCTGTTCATGCAATGAATTTGCCAAGAATAATCTTAATATGATCGGTAAGGAAGCAACAGGAACAGAAAACCCCGACCAAGTGTTCACTTTTATACTTCATAAGAAAAATCAATAAAACTCAGAAAATTCTAGGGTAAACATGTAGAAACGTTTTGCGTGTGAAATGCGTATTGATTAAAACAGGGCAGAATATCCATACCATTGGTGACCTCCACCAAGGACACGAAGAATACACATGAATGGGCGAACATTTCGGATCACCAACCGTCAAGTCATGTGAGCACTTAGATCAAGCAAGTACACAAAATACAGCTAAGTGAAGTGCAAACATAAGAATGTACTCGGCAAATCTGAACCCATGTAAATGTAGTTTGTATCCGAGAAGGCAAAAGCGCAACTTGGTGCGCTCTTTCCAGGCAGGAACCGTTAATCAACCCCCAAGTTCAGATCGCACAAGCATTGCCGTCAGGCGTACATACTTGCGCATAGGTGGAGCGAATTGGGTTAGTCGCAGCACAATTGATACTCACGCATATAACCACATCACTGTCTATTCTATGTATTTTCCATCCCACAGCATTTGTACCATAGAACTGGACTACGTTTTTGCGCTCCTAAAACTTACTCCAATTGAAACGGATATATACTTATGCAAATTCCGGCGAGGATTGAAATCAAGGGGATTTGGAAATCACCAGTGTGACATATTGATAGTAGTATGTCTCAACACTGAATGACACCCCCAGAAAGTTTGAGTGGCTAAATCAGAGTAAAAACTAATTTAATTCATCAAGAATTGCCGACTGATTCAGATCCGTTCGTGTGACCAGTGACTGGAGCCTCAAAGATTCACCCTAAATACGTCTGGATCACCGCCATAAAAACGAAGGCAACATCAATACTAAACGTTGTTCTTGATTGTCGTCCATCTATGTCAGATTTACTTTTAAAAAAGCCCTCTAAAGAAAAGGATACAGGCTTGAGGGAGAAAAACACCTGGATACTAACAAACTACAACCAGCCGAGACGCCTGTTCACTTAATAACTCACTCAGAAGCCAGGAGATGACAGTGCAAAAGTTACTGGTGAATCGCATCCGCATGCTGCAGATCTATCCAAGCACAGGAAGGTCCATTAAATACAGAGACTCTTTCCAGTCACCTAACTAACTTATGGTAGTTACTACGTTGACGCTCAGTTAGATAAAGGACGACGGAGCCATGACAACAAGTGACCGTGACCGTGACCGTCCAAATAAATCCTCCAACGGAATCTTGCAAACGATGAGCGAACGCCTTCAGCATAGATATTACTTACACACGCATTTTAAGACATTCGTTTTTTACTATTCATCTCGAAGGGCCAAACCGTTTACTTTCGCGATGTTTCTGTCCCCTTCGGGGACAATAGGTGAGGCCCGATGCATACTTCTAGATTCTCGTTGTACATTATCCGCATGAACTCATATTACATACATGGGAGCTAATTTGAACTGAATTGTGTTTGATTTTTAAAATCATTGTTCGGAAGCGCGTGAAGGTGCCGAAAAACGAGCCCACCTTGATGTCAAATGAAAAATAGGGTAAGAGAGCTAGACGCATTGCGATTTCAGTTCCAAAATCGGTATCTCACTTTTTGTATGAAGCACCAAAGTAGACACTCGCTGAAACACATTTCCCCGAAAAAAATATCCAACTGCTTTCAAAAATCCAACCTGTTTCCGTCTAAATTGTCTGGTAATGAATATCACAAAGAAAGATAACTTTTTACACAAAATGGTGACTGAAGGAAAATGTCATTGTGGTCTTTTGAAAGAAGTGTTTTCTCTTCAGAAGAGTCTCAGTTTGGAAAGTGTTGGGTTAAAAAACAATCAAATGCCATTGAATCTCACAAAACTTGTGTGCCAACGTTTTGAAAATTACAGAGAAATAGAAATTTGATGCATATCGCCAGATCGTGGGCTTCGGATTGATTTACGACTCATCAAGATAAGGGCAAACTTCTTTCAAGTTTCATCAATGCATAGCGGGAAATGCGAAACCGAAAGTGCCAAATAAACAACAAGCGACATCCTCACTCAATCAACGTCAACTGGTCATGTGACGTTGTGTAAACTAAACGGACCAAGTAAATCCAGAAATGCGCGGTTCGCATGTTTGGTGGTGGGTTAAAGACCGAAATAGAACCGAACGGCTGATGAAAAGTCAATTGTAACATGCCTCCGTTGAGTTGCACACATGGCGATGTAAATAGGTAACTAAAAAGGGTGAGGCTGAAAAAGGCTCGGATAGGGTTCCACCGCAAGGAAAACCATTTCACCTGGTTTCCTCCTTGTCCAAAATTTCGTTTCACTAAAGAATAGGGAGATAAATGGATGCCGACGAGAAGAAAGAAAAATGAACAGATCCACTCCCATCCGATCTCCTGAACCCAAGCCAACAGGGTTGCGTTTGTTCGCTAACTGGTCAGAAATAACAAGGCATCGGAATAAATGTCATCAGGAGAAATGTGAATGTGCCTGATTAACGTGCACCAACAATTGAGTCAATAACCTTTATTAGCTCCCAATTAGGCCGTATTCACAACGCTACTCCGTAGGGACTGACTTAGTATTTCCCTAGTTGACCAAGACATCAACTGCCAGGTTCGTTGCAGAAAGAATATGTCCGCCGACAGGAGTTACTGCAACTTGTATGAACGCGGAATTCCCTCCACCAGGTGGAGTACTGTATAGATGCTTCAGTCCTGTTGTTGAAGATCAGTGGCGCACATCTCACAGCTCTCTGATATTCGAATTTGCGGCATTCCCAGGAAGAATTTGAACAGGAAGAAAAACCCTCCACATGGGCCTTCCATTTGAAAAACTATTACTCAAGAAGCCAAAAGCCGTCATATTTAGTGACGCGAACTGCATAATTGAAGGACTCTATATTCTGCCGAACTGAAATTGGACCACTCTGCTGGTCAGTCCTTCATGATAATCGGTGGACTTTCCCTAGCATTTCGTTGATGCTTACCGCCTATGGTCCTCCAGAACGATGAAGCAGGTCCCCGGTTTCCCAACATATACTGAATTCAGTTGACTCCAAACTTCAAAAGTGTATGAAAACGACCGTTTGTTAGTCAGATATCCCCGAAAAGTGACAATAGTGTGAAGATTCCACAAAGAACTGTGGCAAAAACGAAATGTTAGCATCTAGCATGTGGGAAATTATGTCTCTGTTTCTTCACCTGGAGCGCACTCAAGGAAACGGTATAACGGAAGGAAAATAGGGGAGACGATAAGTACATCCAACCGACGACGACAATCGAACATGTAGACGTACACAATAGTACAGAGCTGGGAAACAGCACCGGGGAGGAAAGAAGACAAAAGTGATCGCTCGAGGAAGAAACCGGGATGTCCATCAACGTTGAATTAAAAACGCAATTTTCTGTTTCTTTAGCATTTTTATGATTCTTTGAGGTTCTGAAGGCTCTAAAGACATGCAACAATCTCTGTACAAATATGAACAGAAATCCCCGTTATTTGAGGTTTGTCTTTATAGTGTCGCATTTTATTGATAAATCTCAAGAATTCAGAGGCCTTGGTTTGGTATTTCGTAAGTTTATTCAATTAGGCTTTCCCGAATACGCCAATTATTCTACACTAGGAGTCCTATTCATTTTCACTCACTCCCTATTCAGGTGCCGCGGGAGGTAAAGCACGTTAGTCCGTGTACCGAATCATGATAATAGTTGCCGCTATTTCCGAAGACCGTCTGAAGAGCTCGGTCAGAAGTTATCTCTACTGAGAACTGCACTTTCCGGAGCTGAATTTCATCATCCAAAGAAAGTTCATTTGACCGGAAGTTGATTCGCTGCAATAGCATTCAGAAGGGAATGAAATTCCTCTCTTTGAGGATAACGA